TATTTGACATGCTTTAATTTAAAATTCATTTTCGTCTGGAATGAGTTGCCCATTGCCATAAAGTTCATATACAAGTCCTTTTTTAGTAGCTGAAGTAGCTTTTATTACACCATCAAAGTCATCAACTTTAAATCGAATTTCTGTTCCGTTATCGATGAATGTATTAATGGTTTCTTGTAAATTACCATTAATCCATACATTGAGATTTTGTTTTTCTAAAATATATACATTATTATTTGTTGTGTGGTATTTTATGGCAGATCGTATGCCTTTTGACTTTATTCTTTAGTAGTTAGTACCAGTTCCCAGTTGAATGTATGTTTCACGTTAATACACTGATATTTAGACATACACCAGTGGTGAATTGAGACCAAACATCATCTTATGATAAACACGGCGTGGTATATAAAAATTCGTTGTAATTTTTTCATATAAATAATAAAATATATGAGTACCTAATGTAAATCCAATAACTGCAATAAGCTTTTGAGGAGTTTTACGCTTTGTTCAAAAGTTCAAAATATTTTGAGAATTCAGTTAGTTTAACGTTTGAGAAGCAAGTGATATTTTCAGATGAATTTTCGTTCGTGAGATATTAAAAGAAAAAATGCTGACAGAAATGTGTAATTTCCATGTTTGGAAAACATTTTTCCCATTTGCACATAGTTTAAAAATAAGTTTACTTAAGAGTAATATTTAGTGGGCATTAAGCAATAAAAATAAAAAATAAAAGACCTATTCAAAAGTCAAAAGGTGTGCAATTTTTCGGTATAGAATATCACACCCTTATATATTTATACGAAATATACGTATAGGTACCCGGGGAGATATACGAATTTGAGAATCGAATGTTGGGCATTCGTACAAATACTTTTAGTCATTTTTTCATATAAATAATAACGTAATGTTAATGCAAAAAAGCAATTTAAAGATATTGAGGGAAGCTTTAGACATTGCTCAAAACTTTTTAAAAGTTCCGTTAGTTTGTCAGTTTTCAGAGGTGATACATCAAATCATGCATTTTCGCTCGTGTGACATAAAAGGAAATAATACCGACAAAGAAATGTGTAATTCTATGTGTAATTTTTATTGCAAGGGAATTCTGATTAAACAAATCCTTAAAGGGTAAAATAATGAAAAGTTAATGAATGTTACAAAATTAACCTGCTTTAGTATTTAGGCTTTAGACTTGTAACGATATCCGTATTCATTAATTAAATGTAAATCATTTTTTATTTCAATTGTAAAATACGAAATAGTTTTCCTTTTTGTATTTTAAATGCTAAATGCAAAATAATACAATAATAAAATCGCGGGTTCAAGTCCTTTTTCGTCTTTGTTTCCTGACCTATTAGTACACTACAATGTCTTTAGTCCAGGAAATGAAACTGCATTTTTCTTATGCACCAATGCATTTTTGAGAATGAATCGATCGTTTATGTCCACAAAAATTCGAAGGTTTGACCTATTTTTGTGCTTTATTTCATCGTAAATTATATCTCTTACTACTTACCCAACACTATTCTATATTTTTCTTTATCCGCAGCGGTTACAATCCATACTTTTAAATTCTTGTTCTGCTTTTCGGTAAATTTTTCTAAAGGTTTTCCATTTACCGATAAACCGTAACAAAAAGAAAAGTACGGCAATGGATCAACTGATAGAACACATTTTGCTTTCTGTTTTCCAATTTCGAATATTTCGTCTCCAACTAATCTAAACATCCAATCTCTTCGTAAAATTTCCTACAGGTGTTATACAATTTCAGATTAGCAGTTCATTTTATTTTTTTAACCATATTATTTCTTTGCCTAATTAGATGTAAATTGGATGCGTCATCACAGAAAAATTCAAAGCGTTTTACAAATGTTTTAAATTTTATTTTTTTGTGAATCAACAAAGTATAGATTAGACTGGGCCAAAAAAAAGACTATTTTTTTAATGGGATCCCGAAAATATTATTTAGGATGACAGAAAAAAGTCCACATCCAAATTATCAAGAGGTCTATCATCGCGAATTTATGTCTTTTTAACTCTAAACGTATCATTCACTCAAATCATCTAAAAAATATATCTGAAAAATATAAATAAACGCTTTTGAAGTTAATTAAATTCTCTACAAAAAAGATCTGACTGCAAATTTTCGTCCGACAAACCGTTTCTAAGTAATCTTGTGTTGAACATTGATCTATTTTTACGATTTAATATTTCAACTTTTAAATTTTGGAACTCATTTCTTTCTGAAAAAGAATGATACAAGATTTTAAAGGAAATTAGATGCTCTACAGAAAAGGTCTCATTACATTTCTCGTTAAATTTACTCTTTCAAAAGTTATTCAAAGTTCAAGTTCGAGTTTAATTTATCGTTTTCTTTGTTTTACGTATGTATTATTATTTTTTTATTGATAAATTTGAGGTCTTATATTAAAAATACCATTGTTTTCAACTAAATTCGCCAAATTTTTGCATAATTGATAATTTATTGTAATTTAATTTCGCTTTAAGAATTTTTAATCCATTTAAATACAGTTTTATTTAGGGATGTTTGGGAGGTATGTCAAAATGCTACGCTACAAATAAAAATTTGGAAGAACGTTCCTCATTCATTTCTAAAACTCCTGTAAAAATTACAAATCGATTCACTAAACCGTTAAAAAATTATTGAAATTTTAAAAAATTGTAATTTTATACGTCATTTTATGGAGATTCGTTAACCGAACAGATTAAATTTATTTTTATTAACAGAAAAAAAGCTACCAGAAGTTTCAAACTTTTATAAACGTAGTAACAACAT